AGGGAGGGAAATTGAGTGAGGTTAAGTGCAATTCAGATGATGAGCATTCCTCCCTCTGATACTCGCACACCAACACTCGTCAGCTCGACTGATCCAAGACCATTCTCCACACGTTCGACAGTCCCACGCCTTCTATTCTGGTGATTTCTGCCGCCTCGGCTATCAGTCTCTGTGGCGTGAACTGTAGTCCTCACCTCGAAACCTCAACATTGGCTAAATCTATTTTGTGTCCCGTGCCAGTACATGCTCCGCAATCTCCGAGTCTTTCAGCAACGCTTGATATCCATCTGCGTTTCTCGGCGGCCTGTTTATTTTCCTATTATGCTCTCTGATTCTGATGTGAAGTTCCCTAGCTCCCATGTAGACCATTAGTGCTGTCGTCACACTTAATTTTTTAGAACAGTCCCTGGTTATGTTTGCCTGGAGGCGGTCCTTCAATTGCCCCAGTGCAGAGCGCAGTGTTTCCCCACTGGAAATGATTCAGTCACATTTCAACACGCCAAACTGAGTGGCCGGCAAAGAAGATGCTTCTGGTATTTAAGCCAAAATGATGTTCAAGGTAGCCGACATAAATCACGAGGTTGAGGCAAGATCTTCGGTGTTTTGATACTACGGGATGACCTCTTTAGCTACTAATTTCCAGTAGAGAGTTGATGGGCGCCAAGACATTCCGTAGTTGAGACCACCTCTGATAACTGAAGTAGCTTGATTCATGTCCGAAGGAATCCGAAATAAACGAAGATGTTGTTATTATTTTATTATCATTATTTTCCGAGCTTGCACCTAAACACAGCTCACTTCATGCACGCCTCGAGCCTTGTCGCCAATCGATCGGCCAATCAATACATGAGTCATATTTGCTTATGATTAGACAAGTCACCAGAACGGATGACTGTGTTCTCACTGATCTGTTTCACGTGCGTCAGTTTCGCAACACCTAGTAAACCTATATACTAGTTTTTCTGGTGAGTAGTATACAACGACGGTGAGAAGTCGGCAATATCCCAGTCTAATCGGAGTTCAGAGACCACTGTTTCAACTCCTTCGTGCTTCTTGTCCGATCTTTTGACCGGTGAATGAAAAAATCGTAAAAAACAGATTCAACTGGATTCAGTTGAGTCCGTCATGAAAACCGATTTGGCGTGTGAACAAATGTATTTGTCGAGTTTTTACAAGTTGGGTTCAAGTAGGACATAAGAATGACCTAATCTTGGGGATTGAGTCTACCTGATGATCCTCAGGAAGGGCGAAACGGATCGTGTGCAGGTGAAGAGTTTTCAGCAACAGTGGCGTGGTAAATCTAGACAATGCGCTGCGATACCTCGAACATCATACATACAGCACGATCATAAACCGAATATCCAGTCATATTCAGCTGAGTCTTCCCTTAGAACCAAATTAGTGTACAGGCGAGACTAGTTAGTGCAGTACGTTCACTTTGGGTTCAACTGTGAACACTGTTCACACTTCAGACCTTGTGACCAATATCGTCATAACCTTTGTACAACAAAATTCGAAAATATTTCTGACCTCGCAAACTAATTTCGTTTAACGGCAAACGTGGCTAAATTCCAGTTGACTATTTCGTTTGTGATATTCTTCGGCCGAGTGTTTCGCTCGAATTTTGCCTCGGATTTATGTTTGCAGTGAGCAATTCGCATCCGATTTGGGTGCAGCAGAATGTCAAGTTGAATAAAACTCAGAAATTTGGTCTATTTGATATACATGAGAAAAGCGAGCGAAATTAGTTGTGGGGTATCGCGGATTTTATAGCTACATTGTGAGTATGCCATTCAGTCGATTGCTCATCGATTTCTATTCAGGCTGGTATTACGGACATAGAAAATAGTGACTTGCACGCAAGAGCGCATGGAAAGTTAGTCTACAAATGCAGTGTTTCATTGGATATTTACCGTTTAGTGTTTCGGTTAGAACTTCTCTGATTCTCCTGGAGAAATTTAACATGGTATAACTGATCATCATCATCACCATCATCATCATCATCATCATCATCATCATCATCAACAACAACAACAAGAACCCATCATCATCATCATCATTATCAGCTGTAATAACCGCGTACTGGTCGTACACTGGTTGTAGCTGCCACAGTTTCGTTCACCGATGATTGGGGGGTTAGGTAGCTGCGCACACACTACCAACTAGCATAGATTCCAACCCTTATAGTCCTTTCGAATTTGTGGCGCGCCCCCCAAAACGTGTTTCATCGTATACTCACAGATGAACTCGATTTTTTTTTACCGTTTGTAACCTACATAGGTTGACTGTAATTAGCTGCAAACTTCAAACCCATTGGTATTGATTAAAAGCGCATGCCACTAGGTCACCTGACTTGCACACGCGTGACAAGTGGAGAGAGGACTAATCGACAGAGGTCGGGCGCTCAGTCTGTTCCAAGCATTCATTATTCGTATTCAAATGGGGAAAATGTGGCTGCAATCACTCGTCAAACAATTTTCATTTGTCGCCAGCGCTCTATCCGCTGTTCAGGCTGCACGATATTCGAGTACCACAGAGGCTAGAAGAAAACAACGTATCGAGATGAAGTCACGACTACCAGCAGATATGCACCTTCCACTTACTGACGTAGATCAGCAAGCTGTAATTCTACTGATCCTTTACCTGATTTCCGTATTGCTTCTGATAGGTTCGTGTATCTTGATCATTGCTTTCGACAAATTTGCATTGCGCGCAGTACGTCGATCGATTTGTTTTTTCTGTTGTTGTCTGTACGGTTTTGGGCGACTTTGGCAGAAACGTCTTGACGGTCGACTGTACACAACGGATGATGAAGATGACAGTGGAGATGAATTGTGTTGTTTCAAAGTGACCGAATCGGTTAGACAAAAAAGTCTCGTAACAATGAGTACCTATCACAAAAAGAAACGCGCTGAGCATGCGTTCTCCATGTTATCATCCGGAACAATTAGCATTGCCGATGATCAGTCCGTAGGTTCATCTGTTCAGTCTCGTTTGACCTCAGGACAAACTTTGTCGCTTCCAATCGGGAAGAATTATAGGCTGAAAGATAACGTGGTGAAGGTCCGGCTGGAGTTCCTGGCGGACTTGGCCGCCTACATGAATGCACGCACGACAGCGCAGCTCACAAGTGATATGAGTTCAACCTCGGACACAGAAAGCCTTGCCTCACAAACAAGTCAAACAACGCAAAAAATGTTGGAAGAGCCTAGACGACGGGAACAAAGCCTGTAGGACAACACAAAGAATGCTTGAAGAACTATTTCATCGGGTCATAATATTGGCTGCGGTCCTGTTCGGCTCACAATCAACAAAACTTCGTATCGATTTAGACAAAAGATTTTCTCTTCCCCCTATCTTCCTCCGTGTTAGGATACTCAGATGTTATAACCTGACCTTGTTTTTGTTGAGAGTTTCCCCTCTTCTGATGCAATAAACACAATTCATCAATTGGCTTTTACTTATTGCCACAGAACTCACAACCTTTGAACCACACAGAATCACCTGTTCTTAAAATTTCACCCTGCGCCGGAATCGTCTGTTTAGTTCATACGCGAAATACTCGACTCAAATTCGGCTCAAGGATGTCCCAAGACAATGACCTGAAATGAGGAAGTGAGCAAGTAACAAATGACAAATTGCTGTTCTTTACCGCGAGACACAACTAACACACTCGTGTTTGATTTAGCGAGAAAAACGTGAGGAGAACTTTTTACTAGCGGACAAATTTACGAGAGGCGTACCTCACTTCGGATTTATTTAAACACCAGATTAGTTTAATTTACTGCGCTTCTCTTCTACAGAAAGTATGATACCGGTGGCTCGGTCGTTCAGATTTAGAAGCAGGAAGCTTGTCACCGAAGACTCTGGCCGAAGGATTCAAGTCATTCCTTCCCGTGGTCCGCCACCACAGACAGCGGGAGCGGTTACTGTGTTGTTTTCTCGATATTCCGGCCCTTCAGTGCGGTGCTGTGGACACTGTACTGTGCAGATCCAACCATTACACACTTTGAAACCATGCAGGTGCCATCCACGGTGTCCCATTATGAAGAGAGCTCGAGATTACAGGTTGGCTAGGGCAACAAGCTACCCCAATTGACGATTTGACTGGAGAGAAGAGCCACTATGTACTTTTGAATTCTCACATCCTTCTACCTAGTAATGAGAACATGACACGCGGTCACCTACCCCTTCTCTGGATAAAAGCATCCGTGTCTGATTGACCAATCACAATTGCTAGGTGGTTCATTCTACGAGCTGAGGAGGCACTTCAGACCAGCAGAATTGAACAGGGTTACCGCCTAGTTGCACCAATCAGTAAGGCGACCTTCCTGCTCAAAACTGATGATAAGGGCACTCTCTAACTCCATATTCTGTCCAAAAATTGAAACCCCCACAGCTTTTGGTGTTTTCTGAGTACACTGGTAATAAACCGTCATATCAAGTCATATCAATGAGCCAGGAAAGGTCAAGCAATGACTTGGCAGTGAAATATAAAAGCCATTACATGCAAACTCAGCTGCTCTGGTCATTGCCGTCTTTCTGGATGGGGACCCCGAGACAGGCCATATCAATTGTTAGAGACATTGTCAGACATGGCCCAGTCGCGCCCTCAATGGCGCTCATGCATCCATGCTATTGCCTTTAATGCGTTGCTCCCTTCCCAACCCCCCAATTAACAGTCCACCTACAGTGCTGTATTCACGCACTAATTTATCAACTCCCTCCTCTAATGCGCAGCTACCTACCCCACCTCCCCGAATCATCGGTGAATGAAACTTTGACAGCTAAAAAACTGTATGGCAAGTTTGTCGTTCTTACACCTGATCATGTTGATGATGATGATTTCTATGTGACAATCACTCATGCGCTAACCTCCACTCTGTCTTGCGATGTTACTCCTATTGGTCTCCTGTCCCAGTTCTTACCCGACTGAGACTCTGCTGAGGGCATCAACACATAAGGCTTACAAAGCTGAAAACACCCGTGACCCAAAGTCCTCACCTGGTGGCGGCCCGAAACATTGGTGAAAACGTGCAAACAAATGACATCAGCACACAGTAGAGAAAATGGGAATTGATTATCTCAGATGTTGAGGCGAAACAGTAAAAAAATGTCATGGTCTAGAGGATTCGACACCCTTGGGTAGTTTTATACTTTTTCTGTCCAAGTTTTGCCTTTTGCTGATTAAAGTTCAGCCCATCAAAGCAAACATCTGGTTTGTTTCCTTACAAGGTGTTTTACCTGATGATAAAATTTTGTTCATCTCCGTCCTCTCGCCATGGATTTGCGGTAGCAACATGGCTGTTCCTATAGTTTTTTAACGGGCAGTATATTCCTTACCGCATTCAGAAGCGTGTCTCTGAATGTAAGTACTTCAGAAAAAGTAATTTTCAGCTATGTTTGAATTTGAGTTTGAGTTTTCTCGGAACCCATGCCCTTCGCCCTGCTACCTATGGGTTCTGAGTGCTAGCGAATTCTAATAATAATGTTGCCTACTGCTATTTATTAGTAGCCACAATTAAACAACTGGTTTACACGGTCAGCTGCGTTCGGTGGACACAATGCTATCACCCTGATTCATATGCCACAGAAAGCCAAGCATGCTTCAGAGTGGTCTCATCATCATTACCACCATGAACAGCACGACACTAGTGTTAAAACGCTGATGCTTCGCTGCCGAGCAACCATGATTTAAATGAAGGCGTTATTGTGGGAAAAACAATGAAAGTGGATGGCTAAGGGACTTGATGCTAGCCTACCGCAATCTTTCCGAGGAGCGTACACCTCTGGACAATTATTCAGGCACCCCGGGTAGGTGCTGACAGTATGAACGCCCGGACTTATGATAGCCGCCATATCGTCCATTGTCTGAAACCATACACAGTGCGAATCATGCAGACTCCATCCAGGTTTGAAAACAGAACAGTATCACTGACCTCGAGCATTAGGTGTGCGATCTACTAGGTGTGAGGCAAGCTCTTGTAAAGTTCTGTTCCCCAGCATGTGGCGTGCGCGATGTCTGGGGACAAAGGCGATACTTCTTACCTCATCATATGCATTTGCAAAGTACTTAAAGGAAAACGGACGTTTTCAAGCTTGCTGCCTAGTGTTTGTCTCATGCTAATCGAGTAAGGAAACTGTTCCTATTATCAGCGGATCAAATGTGTGTTGGTTCTGCTTGCCGATCGAAGGCCATCGAACGATTCGCCTTGTAATACAGAATGTTGCGGAACTCTTGTTGATTAGTCCGACTGACATAGTCTCTTACAAGATGGGATGTTCATCATCAAAAATTGCGAACTATACTACTAGAAACTCGGAAAGTAGAGCAACTGGATAGAGCAGAAAATCGTGGCATAGCAGGGCCCAGTAGGCGACACATCCGGGCAGACAGCATAGCTTCATAGTTCCATAAATGTTCCGGGAACGCATCAAGAAGTCTCTCCATCAGTGGCGTCTTTTTAAGATAACACAGATTGCTTAACACATTGCTTCTTGTGAATCGAGGAACAAACATCGGGTAACAAAGGTTAGGAGTGTGAGATACCTGAGGAGTTGCTGTGAGCCTGTTAGATTTAGTGACTTTGGTAAAACGAATTTCTACGGTTTGATAGAGCTTCGAAGATCGTTTTTTACTCGCTCAAATTTCATTCTTTCCCCACCAATTGGAGCAATACTTTTATTTTCTCGGAACCTGTACGAATCCCACTGTCTAGGAGTAAGGCTTACCCACCTTCGTTCTATCTGATTAGGAAACATTCGAGAAAGTTCGCAGGACTTGAGGGATTATGGAGGACATCAAAACAACGATGCTTGTTTGAGTTAAGTACCCAAGTAACAGTAAGTTATAAGTAAGGTGTGGGAGAAGTTGTAGGCAATAAGTCGTTCGGAGTGAGAAATGAATTGCTTTTTGGGAGAGGGAAATAGCCAACACTTGAAAACTTTGAACCTGAGTGATCTCTAACGCCCAGAGGCGGGAACCGGAGCACTTCTTCGAGAATAATTTCTTTGGTTGTGATGACAAGGTCAATGAAGGATGGGTCACATAAACTGTGAGGAGTAGATTCCCCTAAATTTGTATCTTGCGATAAGACCTAGCAGAGATTTGATAGCAATGCCTTGCTATGCTACTGATTTTGAGTTGAGCGACGACTAGGTATGCGTGTACTTGCGTGCGAGGCGGTCATGAAATATTCGGAAAGTGAAGCTGTAGCAGCGATTGGGATGTCAAGCCACCGGATTTTCAATCATGACGTACGATCTACGGCTTAGTAACGATTAGTTTTGCATTTATTGTCCTGTTTTGGGAGTAAGTGTCCCTGAATCCAATCAACAATGACTTACCCGCCAATGTTGTGACACAGACTCTTGTAGATTTACCGCAAAATCCATATAAATTCATGATCAGATGTTGCAAAGTGATAAGGGTTGTCAAATGGGCGTGAATTATGTTACTTGTTGTTTGAGTGACCCGTGGGACTAAACGGACAGTCGTTGCTCTCTCAAACCATCCCCTCTGCGAACACACTGCAATGTGGTTGTGTACGCACCCCACTAGTATCAAACCATAGCATAGTAAGTCTGTTGAAGGGAAAGGGAATACCTTATTGAGCTGGCGATCAATGGTTTGTAGGCTTTGGTTAGAGAGGACGGGGTGGGCGATTGGCTCAATTAGGTGATGTATGAAGCGGCCAAAATTCCCCTTTTGATACCCGGAGAAAAGTGTTTGATTGTTCTTTTTTGTGAGCGGCTTTTAGAACTGAGATGTACCGGTTTCTATCCCGAGGGTCAGAGACACGCCATACGTTTTCTTCTCCAGAGAGACCGACGTTATTTGGTGGAGAGGCGCATTTGGAGTTCCGCTCAACTAGGATCTCGCTGATGATATCAAAGCATGGACAACCACAATTTCTGTGGAAAACTCTACCCTGCATTATCTCTGGTTGTTTCGGTTTTATCCTTTCAACTTAGCAGGGTAAGTCAGTTCAGGGGATTAGACTGTTCTAAACTCAGTCACCTGTTAGGAGGTTCTTATTGACATGCAACGACTTCGACCCACTGAACCGTTTTTCTTCCTTGTAACGATTACCTGGCAAAGGTAGAGTGAAGTCAGCGATGGCTGTTCGTATGACTGTTATTTCAGTGTTTTCTATCACCCAATGAGTTTTTTGGCGCTCAGATTTTAAAGAGCTAGTAGTGATATATGGCTCATTCCCTGATGTAAGCTAGCT